CTATCCAATTAGCTAACTTATCCCCCACACCTAATGAGCTAATTTTTTTCACAAGCCTTTTATGTGGCATCTTGTCAAATGCTTTCTCAAAATCCAAATACACCAAATCTACACCCTTATCATCTTCTACATAAGCAGTAACCTTTTCTTATAAAGATATTTGGATTTTGAATGAAATTATAACCATCACTAATTTACCAGTTACAAATATTTTTATAGTGAAAATGGTGACATTGTATCAATTAGCTAAGTATCTACCATCTAACCACTAGTTCTACAGAGGGTTGAATATGTTATATTAAAATTGTTTTGAATATACAAATCAGCAAGTCACATGACAATTACAGCAGATATAATGCTGCTATGGAAAAGAATGCATAAGAACTACTTTACTATATTGTTTGGCATTTTGTAGGTAGTGTGATACCACCAAAAACAGGGTATGTAACAGCCCTTTCCAATGCAAAATCTTCATACGCTCACATCAAGGATATTGAATGTCCAATTAAGGGTATTCCTCGTACCTAATGACACTGGAAAACAAAAAAATCTGGATCAACTTGAGACACCAGGACAATCCAGGAAGAGAACTCCAAGTCACACACCAGCAACGGTAAATGCCTCCATGTACCCCAGGCAACAGTATGCCACGTAATCAAGAAAGATATCCATCTGTAAAACTGACAGAAGTCATGTGTACACAAACAGGAAGGGAAGACCAACTGTACAAAACTGTATGAATGATACCTATCCAGGTAAGAACAGCAGTACGTGTAGATACCCGATAAAGCATATATATGTTCCTTGATAGCTTGTGGCATTTTCCACAACTCAATGGGAGAAAAAATACATTTAAAAGTTGTATTTGGCATGTCGTAACACTTTTTTGAAAGGAATTTGTGTAGCTGAATACTGTGCCAAGTTTACCTCTCATTATGAAATCAATGACCATGATCTAAAAATGAACAAACTTGGAGCAGATTGTTTTTTCCTGATTATTAAGAACCTATTACATAAACAATACCTAGAAAACTCAACAATGTTTGATGGTTAATAGAAAACCCAACAATGTTTGATGATTAATAGAAAAACCCAACAAAGTTTGATGGTTATAGAAAAACCCAACAATGTTTGATGGTTAATAAAAACCCAACAATGTTTGATGTTTATTAGAAAACCCAACAATATTTGATGGTTAATATAAAACCACACAGTGTTTGATGGTTAATATAAAACCCAACAATATTTGATGGTTAATATAAAACCCAACAGTGTTTGATGGTTAATATAAAA